CTCCCCCCGAGCGGGCCAGCAGCCCCTCTTTAAGCCCTCTTTGCCAGTCGGGGCTGCAGGCTGCAGATAAGCGGCGAAGCCCAGCCCGCGCGCGCGGCCTCCAACCTCCGCCAGCTAGTGCCCGGGAGTGCGGGTCTCCTGCAGCGTCACCAGGCGCTGCATGTTTCCGCGCTCTCTGCCGAAGGCCTTCAGGACCTCCGTGATTCGGCGCCAAGTGTTCCCGTTGATCCCGAGGATCTCGATGCCGCAGCGGAGGGGTGGCCGCCTGCCTGGGCCCTGCTGTCGGTGGGCGGCCGCCTCCAAGCCGAGGGCTCGAGGTGGGGCGCCGCCAACGCGGGCGCCGCCCGCGGCCCGCGGGCCAAACGCAGGGCGGCCACGCCGCTGCTGCTCCGCCTCCGCTACCCCGCTGAGGAGCGCTACCGACCAGAGGGCGATCGCCCTCGGCGTCGGCTGCCAGCCCCTTCGCACAGTCCGCGGAGACGCGGGACCAGTTGCCGCTCGCGCCCCCCGGGCGCTCGGCCCGGCCGCGCTCGCGCCCTGGGCGTGGGCACCGCTGGCCTTCGGCTCGGCGGCGCTGTCCTCAGCCTCGCCCTCGCTGCGCAGGCCCTCCATCCTCCATGGGGCAGCTCTCAGCCCGGGTGCCCCCGCGGAGGGGGAGGGGGGGGGGGGGGGGCGCTGGCTGCTCGCGCGCGGCCGCCATCTGCGCGAGGACGGCTGCCCGCGCGGACTTGAAGTCGTTGTTCTGCCACGTCGCGCGCAGCCCCTCATGCTGGGCGATGGGGCCCTGGCGCCCAGCTGCTGCCTGCCCAGGCTGGTGGCCGGCGGCGACCCTCAGCCCCCTCCGAGTCGCGGGCCTCGCGCTCGCTCGTCCCCGGGGGCGCGGAGGTGGCGGGCGGCCGCCTCCAGCTCTCCATCGAGGGTCTCGAGCTCCTCCTGGGCCTGCTGGATGCGCGCCTCAGCCCCGCCCCTGGCGCGCTCCCCCCCAGGCTCTCGCGGGCCGCGTTGGGCCTCCTCTCCTCGCGGCCAACGGCCCGCGTCTCCTTGCGCATGCGCGCCGCCCTCGGCAGCGTCGCCGACCTGACCTCGGCCGCAGCCTGGCGGGCCTGCCCCAGCTCGCTGCGTTTGACATCGAGCTGGCCGGCCACCATGTCGGTAAAGCAGCTGGCCACGCCCTCGGGCGGCGCCGCGCGGAGGGCCTCCAACCGCCCGACGGCCGCCCGGGGCCGCTTGACCTCCGTGGGCCCAGCGCTGGACGACGGCGCGCTGCCCAGCCCAGTGGCTGTCCCCGCCCTGGCCTTGCCGCCGCCGCTGCCGCTCGCCCCCGAGGTCAGGAGCGCGACCCTGGCGGCGCCTCGCGACTGGCGGCGCCCGCGCGGCTGCTCCGCCCAGCCGTCGCCGTCGGCCTTGGGCCTGGGGGGCGCCGAGGCGCGTTTGGCCTGCTCGGCGCCTTTGGCCCACGGTGGCGCCGCCGTCCCGCGGCCCATGCACCGGCTGCGCCAGTCTCAGTTCCAGCCACGGCATCCGCTGCACATCCAATGCTTGCTCCCGCCGCGGCCGCCCAGGGAGGGCATGGCACCAGCCGCGCAGAGAAAAGACTCGCCGAAGCACCTCGAGGGACAGGGGCGAGCTGGAAGCGTCACTTGGCCCAAAGCGAGGAGACCCTCGCGCTCGAAGCACCGCGAACGACTCGCGGTCGCCGGGTGCTCCATGGCCTTGACAACTTGAGCCAACATGGCTGCGGAGAGCAAGTCTGCCATGCTGGTTTGCCGTGCTAGTCTGCCGTGCTGGTCTGCCGTGCGGGTCTGCCGTGCTGGTCTGCCGTGCTGGTCTGCAGGGTTGCTCTGCCGTGCTGGCATGCTGCGCTGATCTGCCGTGCTGGTTTGCCGCGCTGGTTTGCCGTTCCCTCGGAAAACGGATCCTCCCAAAACGCAGATGTTGAGCATGTCTCAAGCGAAACGCTTGCTTTTTGCAAAAACCGATGCTGGTAAATTTGAGAATGTCCCTTGCGAGATCGTCCGTCCTTGTCGTTTTGAGGGCGCTCTTGGGGTCGTATTGGGGTTCGTGTTGGAATGTTGGGGGCCGTCTTGATACCCTCGAAAAGCATTCCAATGCGGTGTTGGGCACCTGCGTGTTTGAATGGATGTCCCTCGAAATCTCGAGTTTTCGAAAAAATGGTTTGGGCCGTCATGACGCCTTTTGCGATAGCGTTTTCAAGACGATGTCAGACCAGCATGGTTCAAAACGAGTTATTGTATATGTCACTGTGTGTGTGAGGATGCCCCTAGCGAAATCGCCACGTTCAGCAGTCTTCAAGGCGGTGTTGGAGCCATCTTGGGGTCCTTTGGGGGCTCTTGTCTCGTCAACCTGAGGCACTTGAAAGACGATATCAAAACGATGTTGAAAACATTTCGTTGTCTGAGGATATCCCCGGCGAAATGTGACCTAGTCTGCCGTGCTCGTCGCGAAGGTCTGCCGCGTTCCTGCTCATGTTCTGAGGATGTCCCTCGCGAAAGCGCCGGTTTTCACGTAAGAGGTATTAAGGCACCTCTGTCGACATCTTACTGTTCCGAGGATGTCTCAGGCGAAATGTTTAAGTTCTACGCACATCCCAAATCCTCGCCACCATGCGCTGGAGGATGTCTCGAGCGGAACTTGTTTTTGTGAAGGGCGATGTTGCGAACATTTCAGTTTTGTGAGGATGTCCCAAGCAAAATGCTCACGTCGGGAACCTTTCCTGACATGAACGGCAAGCGCGTGAAACCGAAGAGCCTGGCAAGGACATGCACCGACATCGATACCGACTGTAGCATAGGCGCTTTTCCCGAGCGTCCACGGGGGCACCAAATGGAGTTCGCGACCCGCGCAATTTCAGGCATATGAGAGGCACTCCGAATCCTGGCCATGATGCTCGGGGGAAGGGATCTTGGAGCCCAGGTGCTCTTCGTCTTCGTCGTCGTCGTCCTCCCCCTCCTCCTCCAACCGAGTTAGGAAAACATCTAGTCCGCCAAAAACAATCACCAAACGCTTCGGGTGACTGTTTGGTTGTGTGCGCCTTTGTGGTCAATCAGGGAAGGCTGAATTCGTGCGGGGAGTGAACTCCACGTGCTGCGGGCGATGGAAAGGGCGGATCTTCGGGGTCAGGGCCAGAACATATGGAGCTCACTCCCCGCTTGAGTTCAGCGACGCGCGCGAACTGACATGGTCAGCCAGCTCCACCTGGCACTCCTCGCGGTCAATCGGGGAGGGCTGAACTCGCGCGGGCAGGGAACTCCACCTGCTGTGGGCGGTGGACGAGGCCCTATTGTATTTGTCGCGAATAATGAGCGAGTACGATCGCGAGCTTGAGCGAATCGCGTACATTTTGACACTGCGCGCCTCGCGCGGGACGACATTCACAATAAAAACAGCGTGCGTCAACTTCAGAGCCAACTGAGCAGGTCTTGCACACACGTCCTGGGAATTTGTGTTTCGTGACAACGTGTGTACCAGCACGCACGCACACGTACATGCAACTCAACGTGTGCTTGTGTATGCGAACGCGTCCACCAATACGAATACACATCATGGTTCGCCCATGTACGCGCATGTGGAATGATCGGATACCCACGGGACCACGCGGGACAACCAAGGGGACAGTCCAAAAGACAACGGGAACAACCCACGGGGCAGCCAGCGGGGCAACCGCGTGACAACCCACTGGACAGCCACGGGACAAACCACAGCACCACTAAACCCGAGCCCGAGCGCGAGCCCGAGCGCGAGCCAGAGACCAAGCCCGATTCCGAGCCCGGACCCGCGCCAGAGACCGAGCCCGATCCTCAGCGCGCGCGCGTGCGCGTGCGCGTGCGTGTGTGCGCGTGCGCGCGTGTGCGTGTGCGCGTGCGTATGCGCTTCCAATGCATTAGCATGCGATCGAAATAAACACTACAACCAAAAAACCATCGGGCCGTAGTTGGAACCGTCATCGGACCCTCGTGCAGCGCCGCCGCGTCTCAATTCGTCGCTCTCCTCCCCATCCCCTCCTCTTCGCACCTCGCAGTTGTCTTCCTCTGCCTCTGTCCTCCCCCTAGTCGCCGTTGTCGTGGTCGTCGTCCTCCTCCTCCTTTTCCTCCCTCCTGCCCCTCCTCTTCTTCCTTGTCCTCCTCCTATTGATTCACCTCCCACTGCTCTTGCTGCTGCAGCTCCTCCTGCTCCTCCTAATCATCATCATGCTTATGATCATGCTGATCATCACCGTCATCATCACCATCATCATCACCACCACCACCACCATCATCATCATCATCATCATCATCATCATCATCATCATCATCCTCATCAGCATCATCATCATCACCATCATCAGGGTCATCATCAACATCATCAACATCCTCAGCATCATTATCATCACCACCACCAGCATCACCATCAGCATCATCAGCATCATCAGCATCATCATGGGCACCGTCATCAGCATCATCAGCATCCTCAGCATCAGCATCCTCATCATCATCATCATCATCATCATCAACACCACCATCATCATCATCAGCAGCAGCAGCATCGTCGTCAACATCAGCATCAACATCAGTATCATCATCATCCTCATCATCATCATCATCGTCATCATCCCATCATCACCATGTGACCCTCATCCTCCTCCTCCTCATCATCATCATGCTCATATTGTCATCATCACCATCATCATCACCGATCGTCACCATCAGCCGCATCATCATCATCATCGTCATCAGCACCAGCGTCATCACCATCATCGTCATCATCGTCGTCATCATCATCGTCACCACCACCACCACCATCATCATCATCATCATCATCATCATCATTATTATCATCATCATCATCATCATCATCGTCGTCGTCGTCGTCGTCGTCGTCGTCGTCGTCGTTGTTATCGCCATCAGCAACAGCATCATCATCCCATGTCTCATCCTGATGTTTCTGCTTCTCCACCATTTCCTCGCCAACCACCGCGTTACCCTCTTCCTTCCCTCTCTTGCCTGATGCACCTCCCGAAGAAGCAACAGTGGTGGTCGAACCCCGTGTAGCACCTCTGGCACGTGCTGCAGTGGTGGCTGTTGGGCGGCCGCCACCTTGTCGCCTTCTTTACGATCAACATCGGCCCAGCCGCCCGATATGCCAATATCAACCCCGACAGCGAGAATCAGACCTGGACCGATTTCTCTTTGAACTTGAGCCTATGGGGTCCGCGCAGGGCCCCAAAGTGCCTCTGAAAACAACTCACTGTGCGAGATCCACTGGATAATCCCGGAACCCCACGATTTGAAAAGAACAAAAAACAGTGTAGACATCTGGATCGGCCTGCAATCTGCCCACAGCGCCGACAAGACCAACAACTACTCATCCAAACTCTACGGGCCCATTAGCTTCAGTAAACAGCAACCGCGGAGGCAAGTGAGCTGCTGAGGAGAGGAATCCGCCGACCCCTTTCGGGTCTCAAGGCGCGTGAAATCCCGCCCCCTCCCCCCTTTTAGCTGGCGAGTCTCCCGGGTGCTGTCCAAATCCCGCGAAATCGGCCCAAGTTGGCCCCCCGGACGGTCCCAGAAGGCTCCGAGACGACCCAAGAGAGCCCCAAGACGGGCAAAAAAACCTCAAGACGGCCCAAGAGGCCCCCAAAACGGCCCAAGAGGCCGCTCAGACGCCCCAGCGGGGGCCCCAAGAGAGCCCGCAGAGGGCCTCCAGAAGCAAAGTCACTTGGCTTCCGCAGGCTTTTACACAGTTGTAAGTGTTGTCGCCTTCTCGGGCTTCTGCAAAACCAAAAGACTTCCCAGGCTTGCCCAAGAAAACCAAAGGAGGCACCAAAACGGCCAAAGACGCGTCATCAAAAGCCCACAAACAAATGTCCTTGAGGCTCCCAAGAGACCCACGATGGGGAAGTCCATGGAGCCAAGAGCCCTCTCACCCAAGATGGCCCTCCAAACCTTTTGGATGCCACTGGGATGCCCCCAAGAATCCCCCCCGAGACCCCCGAGGCCCCCAAGAGGCTTCAGAAGCCTCCACAAGGGCCCCTTCGGGGCCTCCAGGAGGCACCACCACTCCCAAAAGACGCCGTCCGCGAGGCGACCAAGCCCGACCGCGCGGTCCGATCCCGCCCGGCGCGCCGCACGACTGGCGACCGCCGGCGCCGAGGCCTTGCGGCACGCTTGGCTCGAAGGCCGCCGAGGCCGCCGCACGAAGCAGCGCGTGCAGTACGAAGATCCGCCTGCCGCGGGGCCGCCGCGCGCGCGCGCGCCCGCGCGCCGTGGCCAGTGCGCGGGGACCACCCGACCAGGTTGGCCCGCGGCCGCTGTGGGCATCCCTCCCCCCGTCCTTTCCTTTCTTCCCGCTCCACTCTCCGTCACCCATCCCTTTTCCTCAGTGCCTGCCCCATGTTCCTCTTACCCATTCCCCTCTCTCACTCCGATCTCCCCCCCCCTTCGCTCCCATTCGATGCTGGCAACATGGTCTGTCCACCAGGCGAACCCTCGGCACACCTGCCCAGCACACAAGGCGCCCACGAGGCACCCACGAGCGCCCACAGGCGGATACCGAACGAAACCTCGGCACGCTAACCCATCACGAGGCGTCAGCAAGCAACAAGTAACCGTAACTACTCCAGCCGAAAAACCGGCACACCCGACCTGGGCAATCAAACCGTGCTCTCGTTCTTTACCATCGTCGTCGCAAACGTCATCATCATCATCATCATCATCATCATCATCATCATCATCATCATCATCATCATCCTCATCCTCATCCTCATCCTCATCCTCATCCTCATCCTCATCCTCATCCTCATCCTCATCCTCATCCTCATCCTCATCCTCCTCTTCCTCCTCCTCCTCCTCCTCCTCCTCATCATCATCATCATTATCATCAACATGGCCATCAAAAACATCATCATTAGCATCATAATCATGATCATCAGCAGCGTTATCATCACCACCATCAGCATCACCATCATCATGGCGTCAGTTTTGTCGACAATCGCGCGCCAGACAAGATGTGCGTGCGTTGGCGCAAGGATCAGGTCTCCCCCCAGTTGGCAGGCTCTCTGCGCGGAACAGTCTACCAGGGGCCGAACCAGCGCGAGGGCCCAGCACGCGGAACAAGCGCTCAGAGGGCGCCAGCGAGCACGCGGAACTGGCCCTCAAAAAGCCGAACCAGCGCGCAAGCGGAACAGGCCTTCAGGGGCCGAACCAGCGTGGGGGCTGAGCGCCTTCCCGCCAACGATAGTTCCAACCGATCCTGACCCCGGGTCAACGCGGCCTTTCAGGGCCAGGCCTATGAGACTACCACCTCCACACTCGACCGTTCCCTTATTGCTCTGGCTAGCCAGCCGCGTCCGGTGAACTGGAAGCACCCGCGCCTACACGCAAGCTCTGACCACTTAGGCTTACCGTGCACATAGGGCTTCCCGGCGGACAGCGGACGAAAAAACACACCTCCGCCCTACCTCAGAATGACTAGCTAGCCGCTTTGACCATTACATTCATGAATGTCTGGGTCGCCTCCGGTTCGGTGGACGTAAACGTGGATTGCTGGAGCTGTACTAGGGCGTCAGTGACACACGCGCATACATACATACATACATACAGACATGCATACATACAGACATACAGACATGCATACATACATACATACATACATACATACATACATACATACATATATATCGCTCGTACGGAGGGGCGCCGAAGGGTCCTCAGAGGGCCTAGGGCACGCGGTGGGGGTCGGCGAGAGCCTTAGCTGCTCGACGAATGTGGTAATGAGATGCTGGCGGTCCTACCTCTTGGGGGCAAGGGCCAGACATTCGACGTACAATGCAACAATGGACAGCCACGGCAATGGCCTCATTCTGCAAATCGTTGGGAGTTCCGTCTATACCAAGCCTTGCTGCTAAGTCTGATGGCGGATCTGTTCCGAAAGCCAGGGCCCAAAGCGACGAACATCTTACATCATGCCGAAATGGGTCATTCTGGCCGTCGCCACAACAACAAAAAAGACGATTGCTGACGCCACCTGGAGTGTGAAGGCGAGCGGAGGCGAACCACCCACCGCAAAAGGCCTTAATCACAACCGACTGCCAAAACGGAACGAGGGGCTCTAGAAGGGCCCTCAGCGGGGGCCAGGGGCCCCTCGGGTGGGGGACAGCCCAAGACTGCAGCCTCTTCTCAAGAGTGCGTTGGGACGGGTCGGGGGAGAGGCAGGGCAGTGGCAATGGCGAGAGCCTCCTTCACTATCTCTGCCAGGAGGCCGCGTGACTGGGACTGATTCTGCAACCGCGACAGCAGCTTCCTCCAATTCGCGATCGTCCGATCCGCCGCCCTCATGAGAGACGCCGCGCCGCGCGCAGGCATGGCTGCGGGCCGTAGCTGCGACCAGCCACCCAGTGAGACGAGATCTGGCCACGCCATGGCCTGAGGAGGAAGATGCACAATTTTGTGACCCGCCCAAGCTTCGCGAGACCGAAGAGCCAGCGGCGCAGAGTACAGCTGCTGCAAATACGACAAAACAGGCAGCGCACGAAGGTTGTAAAGGCTGGCGGCGAGGTGAGTGGGCACCCCCGACTTTGCCAGCTCCAGCCTTCTCAAGGACAACACTGCAGCTGCTTTGCTGCACATCATGCCTTCCGTCGCTGAGGGGCCCGCCAGCACCCTCGAGCATTCGCCGCATGGATCAATCGCGATGCTCGCCCAAGACGGGGTCGCACAACGTAGCCGCTCGCGAAACTCCTGTTTGATCTCCTGCGAGAGCTGGCCCTCCAACGGGATGATGACACACCTGTGGAACTTCGGCCGCGTGCCCGCCAGGACCTCCGCCGCGCGAAAGATGCGCCGCGCGCCCTGCGACAGCTCGCTACCGCGCAGGACCGCGCCCGCACCTTCGGCGCAGACGCCAGCGGCGGACAGCACATGGCCCCGAAGCAAGGGCCGCGCGGCGAGAACGGGCGGGTTTATCGCCGGCGCCAATAATGCGCCGCTCGAGAGGCAGCCCCGCGCCAGACCTCGCGCGATGCACAGTGAGTCGCGAGTGCCGCCTGCAGCCTGAACGAATGCCGTCGGCGACCAAGGGAGCGATTCAGCCGGAACCAAGACGCCACCGTCCAGCCCGGCCTGCGAGACATACTTGAACAACCAATCGAACTCCAGCGATGTAAACGCGTCGCCGAAATCGAACAGAATCACGACCGGTGGTAAATCAGCATGTTGAAAGCCACGCGCCCGAGCACGAGAGCCGAGCGACATGATGTTGTCGAGAAAATTCAGTCCAACACGGAATCCTCTTTGAGCTGCAGGGGGGCAATTTGAGCATTGCATTGACCGCGCCCGCCACCAACCTGTAATCTGAATTTTTCAGCGCCAGCGCCCGGGTCATTGCCGGGGATCTGAAGGCACCGTCCGCTTGGTCCGTGCCCTCTTTCCCTTCTGGGAAGAAGGGCATGAGGTGATCATTCACAGTCCGCCGGTGGCGGGGCGCCAGCAACAATGGCGAGCGCGCCTTCTCCCAGTATCTGCATGCCCAGTGATGAGCGGCGCCGAGCTTCATAGGGTAGCCGTCTGGGCCAGGAGCCAATGCCCTCGCCCGAGCCACCGCCATCCGCAATTGGCGCGCCGTAGGTGGAAGCTCATCCGGGAAATCGAAGCGCATGCAGAGCTGTCCAAAACATCTGCCTGATAGAGAACGCAAGTTGCCGCAGCGAGCCAGCTGCAGCCCCGTCATCGCCAGGGCGCCTTATCCCCTGCAGCTTCAGGGGGCGAGCGAGGGGGGCCCACGGCGCTGACCTGCGACGAAGAGCCCGCTGCTGTACGTTGATCGCCGTCATATACGACAGAGAGTGGCCAGCAGGTCGAGTAGCGCGAGCGGCCAGCGCCGCATCGCGCTCCTCAGCGAAGGGCTGCTGCTCCAGGGTGAACGCACGAGCGAAGGCCGGAGCGCCGATCAGGTTGACCTCTTCACCCCGAAAGCACATATGCGATCGAGCAGGGCCAGGCGAGTCCAAAGGCTTCTGCGCGAGGCGGACATCGTGTCTCCACACTTTTCGAGCCATGGACCTGATGGCCATGAGCTTCGCCTCCGAGGGCGGCGGGTTCCTGACCAACCGATCCCTCACCGCGCGCGCGGCTTCCTTCGCGGTGTACCTGATGATGCGTCATTGTGAGGACGCGGCTTAGCACTGCCAACCCACCCGTGCTGAGAGACTCTAAACATGCCGCGCATAACAGGGAGCTCGGCGACAAACCAACGATCCGCTGAACATCTGCGGGCGCCGCAGGCCGCGGCGGAATATGCAGAACAACAGGTGCGTGGTCTCTGATGCCGCGTTCGCGGGGAGGCTCAGGAAACTCTGGCGCCGCCGCCGACATAGACCACCGCGGAGCTTCCCAGCTAGGTATCGAGAAGAACATGCGATCAATATGAATGAGCTTCGGCTGTGCCTCGTTCGCAACCTTGCGGGTAGGCGTCTCGTTGTCGACCTCCACGACAGAACTGAAGGCCCGCTTCCGAGCTGCCGCGTTCGCCCGAGGAGCAGCGTCAGAAGCGCGCCTGCGCCTGGCGATCCCAGGCGCTCTGGGGCACATGGGCAACGCCGCGAGGATGTCGAAGCCTCCGAGAAGGACGATAGATATGCGATGCGATCAGGCGCTGCCCCCGCCAGCGGCAACGCCACGAGAGATTCTCTCGGCCAGCTCCTGCACCTGCACCAGTGAGATGTCGAAGTTGTGAACATTATGGGCGACCGTTGACCGCGAGCGACTGGGCCCCATCGCAAATGCTCGAGACCCTCAGCGGCTGGACCCCCCCACCCACCCACCCACCCCAGGAACCAACGCCTCGTGCCAGAACCGAGCCCGCTGGCGCATCCCGGGGACAATAAAGGGGGCGATAATCGAGATCCCGCCCGAGCCCCTGCGCCCGCAGAACGACGAGATGGAGACATGAGGGACGTTCAACCATCACTCCTGCTCCAGCTCCACGCGCGCGGCGCGGATCTCCTGAAGGGCCATCACCGCGCCCCGCTGCAGAAACTGCGGCAGGCACCTCATCTTGCGCTGCCGCGTCTGAGGGTCGCGATGGGGAAGAGCGCGCGAGTTCCACGTGGCGAATGAGGAAGGACGCGAATGTTCTGACAGTGCCCGCCATTGGGCAATGCGATCGTTAAATGCTCCACTGTGGCTTTTCTGATTCCCCGAACAGGCCGTTGAACGCAGCAAGCACTGCTTCCTTATCCAACCCAACATCAATAATAAGCTGATCCTTCCACTCCAGCGTCGCCGGCGCAACTGGGTCGCCAGGGGCGAGAACTCGCGCGGCGGGGGTCGGGGCACGAAGTGCAACTCCTTGCGCGCGGTGGGCCCTCCATCGGCCAGGGCGACCTGTGCTCTGGACCAGCTCGAATGTTTCTTGATTTGCATTTCCCTACGGACTTGCTGCGCGCGTCTGTTGAGGCCGATGCACGCGTCCGCGGGCATGTTCTCGGCGTCGAGGGCCGCGGGCTTCCTCCAACCTCCTTCCTGCGTATTAACTTTCACATGAGCATGGATGACATGGTTTGCAGCCGGCCGTTGAGCGCCTTTGAACGCGATGCCGAAGTGACGAGAGGGCGCGTCACCGACGACGCGCCGCTGATCATCTTGGAAGCCAACCCCCTCGAGCCAAGGGCGAGCTGCCAACTGCATGCAGCGCAGAGAAACCGCCGCCTTCGTCGACGCCGCGGAGACCGCGAGGTTGGGTTCCAAAGTGAAGCCAGCGACGTCGCCATAGTCAGCCCCAGGAGCAGCCTGCTCACGTTGATGCAGCACCGCCTGCATCCGAACCAGATCCTCAGCCATGCGCGTGCGATCACGTTCCATAGCTGCCTGCCCCGCGCCCAGTTCACGATGTCGGAGATCGGTGGCCTCATGCTTGGCCCCCTGCTGCGCCGCGAATTTTCGTGCCGCCTTCTGAATATTGTCGGGGGGCTTCGTGGCCAGGGTCGTGGTCGAGGCCGCGACGGGCGCCAGGATGTCCGACTTGAGGTCGGCGAGGCGACTATCCAGTTTGAACGGTCCTTGCCTCTGTCGGGTGGGGTCGGGTGTCCGTCAGCTTCAGGCGGGGGCGCCGATTCCTATGGGTCGTTGACAGAGACGAGATCAAGCAGACCGGCATCGCCCAGCTCATCCTTCTGAGACTCCGCAGCAGCACGATCATCCTCCTCATAAGGCTTCGACCTCTTGCCCTCCGGGGTCTCCCCAGGCGCCCGAGGGCGACGAGAGGCGCCTCGGCGCCGCTGCCCACCAGGTGAGCCAGAGGAAGAAGCCTGGAACCGCACTTCAGTACTCAAATGTGAACAAAAATCCGCTGCGCCAGAGGAGGCGCACGCGGTCGCGGGCCGCGACTCCCGCGGGCATGTCTGAGCGAAACACTCCGGATTTGGGTCAAAATTGCTAAACATGCGCGCGCGCTCCAGATATCGCTAGGCTGGATGGTCGAACTCCCAGGGATCTCTATTCCATGACACTTCTTCTCT